GATGGTTTTTAATATATGAACGTTTTCTACCATTTAAGTTTTTTATAACTAAGAGTATTTTGATAACATTGTTAAGTTATTTTATGTTTTAAATATTGGAAGGTTTAGAGTTCAAGAGTTTCTCATAATGGTCAAGCCACAAAGTCCTTCAAGTGTCACAGTTTCTTTTTATTTTGCGTACAAATAATGCTCATATATGTACGTATAGTATGTCGTGATTGTTTGTGAACTGAGGCAAAGATATTGGATTACCTAGTACATACTGGTAACTCTATATGTTCCATACATCTCCATAAAAAGTAAACAAACACGAATTTTCTATTCTCTTGTCTCAGTAAAATAATCTCTGAATGTTTAAAATATTTCTTATTTTTTTACATGGTCATTTATCAATCCAGTTAATTGATATATTGATTTAGTTCCTTTTTATAATTGAAATGCAAATTGATGCACGTATGAAGGAAATTAAAGATGCATATATTGCAGTGGAGTCATTTCCCACATTTACCTAGTTTTCCGCATTGTTTTTGTAGAAACAAGATCGTATGCTGGCTATAACTTATGACATTTACACAAATTGCAAATGACAGAAATGCTCATTTTTCTTCTCTTGTTCACAAGAGGTCACCTAAGTTATGTTCAAGACGCTAGAGCATATGTTGATGGTACTTGAATTAAATTTATCTACGTAAAGTTAACTTTATTTTGTAACATGTACATTTTTATCGCCATATTCTTGTAGTATGGTTAATTATTAAAGACATATTAATAGTATCCTACACAATTCTGTTGTAGTATTTCTTATCTATATCTGGGTTGGGTTATGACCCCCTACTTTCATTAGTGCCTGATTCCTTATAAATATAGAACACTAGTTCGAAGTCCAAGTAAATGATAATAATTAATAATATTTATACTTTCTACAAGAGTATAATGCTGAAGAATTTCTTTGTTTGGTTGCTCGCTTTAATCTCTGGCACTACTGAAATACAAATTTCTTTGTTCAGTGCTGACCAGTTAGTGCAGTGGCTTAATGTAAAAGTATCGCAAAAACAGGATAAATATTTCCATTCAGATATCCATCTCTCTTAAGAGTTGCAGATGAAGTTGAGAAAGTTTAGTTTTTAATATAGTAGCAATTTTGATGATGGTAAATAGTATCTGTATATATATTTTACATCTGTCCGTAGTTAATATTTTTACTGCACAATGCTAATCTATTCAATAGTTAATTAAACATTAATTGAACGCGAGGTTTCTTAAATCAGCTTTTAATGGTACACATATGTCAGTACATTTCTTTAATCCGATCAATCAAAGGCGAGGCAATTTCCACCCGACAATTTGTACCATTGCTTACTGATTGTTTTTTTTTATTTGTACCAAATCAATTTAGTCGATAATGTAAGTAATGATCGGTTATGGACTTCCGTTCGATAATAATCTGGTTACGAATGTGAGTTCTTAATGATGATAGTTTAATTGAAATTTAATAGTTTATAGTTTTTATTTATCATATATCAGATAAAATTATTCGTGTTAAGACCCGATTAATTATAGGTGTTATGTGTACTAAACACCTTTTTAAAGAATAACTATTGTTCCTTTCCCTATGATGATTGGTTTATAAACATGCCATGTAAAGAAAAGATCCTATTGCTCATTAAAATTATCTTTTGCCTGAATACTGTTACTATTTTATTCGATTTGAAAAACTGTCTGCTGATTACCAGTAATTCTGCGGTAGCTCCGCAGTTAGTACTGATTTTTAAAATAGAAATTGACGTTAGATACAATTTGAACAAATATTTACATGACCACGATTGTTCAAACTGCATTTTATAGGGACATAAAAGTTATGCAGTAACTGACTAAAGACGAGGTATTAGGTTACAGTAATTGTGGTCAATAAGTTGGACCTCTAAACCACCAATATTAAGAAATTGCAAATCAGCGTGAATGTATATAGAACGATAGAATAAGATATAACAAAATTCAATATTACATTACAATACAACAATAAAAATAAAAAAGAAACAGACGAACTAAATAAAATAGTGTACCATGACTGCGATCTTTTCATATATATGTATAGTTGTCGTCATTGAAATGTATATATATTTTTTGTAATAATTTAATATGCCTAAGTAACACTATATTTACATTAATTTATGTAGTACTATTAATTTGACATTATTCATATCCTATCTAAATGTAACTTAGACCAATAAGCATAAGTAACTGAACAAGACGTAAATATTTACATAGGAAAAAACCTTGCTACACCCTAACGGGGTACATGTACTCATCTTTATTGTAAGGTCTATAAACCAATATAAAGTAAATGAATAAATAAATTTATAATTCTGGACTATTTAGTTAAAACGTAGGGTCTACCCCTATTCATCATATTATAATGATTATTTGAATATACGCTTGGATTCTGATTGAATCAGTGAGTGATTGAATGTTGAAACCGTTCAATAAATTTATTTTACTCCAAGTGATGTGATCATTAGATATAATCGCTCCACTTTGGCGCCACATATTTCGAGCATCAATCAGCGCGACTGTTGTATGAATGAATATGTCGTTACAAGTAGGCGGGTTGATTGGAATGCGTCCTGTTCATTTGATTGACGTTTACACGACACATTTTTGTTGTGGTCTAACTTCATGGTTGGTTTTGCATATTAATTATATCTTTACATATAATAATAATCTGTGGGTTATCATGTTTTTTACTTGCATGTATTTCATTCAAATTTATTCATGTTAGGCCACGGGTAATAATACTAGTAATTGGCGAATTGAGAAGTTTCTCATTGGTTAAAAATTATGTAGACGTAGAAATGTCTGAAATATAATAGATATTATTATTGTTAAGTGAGATATCCATTTTGTCTTCTATTTATTATTTCTGTGATATAATGCCTTTGTACCTACATACTAGCAGCCACTATTAGTGGAACAAAAAAATACATGGTAGGTAAATAAATCTGTAGTTCACTGTAAATTAGCTGTAGCTGTAACAGTAACTGTTCCAATCAACTTTATTCAAGAAGGTCATTTCGATTGCATTACAACTTTATCGCATTAAAACTTAGTGGGCTGTATTACCTAGTGTGCTCGAAACAAGCTTGTTGCTGTTGCCTATAGCGACAACAAATTGAATGATTATTTACTAGGAACTACATTATAGAATAAGTGGATTTCTAAGTACAATGTCGGATTTATAGGAAAATAGGGAAAGGAAATCAGCTTTTCTCGTTGTATTTAGTAATGCGGACTGTCCAGTTTTCTAGTTTTGTGTAACTATAGGAAGTCTACATCATAATGAAGTTTGTCTCTATTACAATTCATATGTATATGTATTAATTATTATTTCTAATATACTTGTATTCGTATACTTCGTATCCGTCAGGCGGAAGTTGGCTTTCAGTCGTTCCGTTAGTCCTTCCGCGAGTTTGGAGTGCCATCAGCCCCTATCATCCAGCGAAGCTGTAAAGACCAGCTACAGCTAACAGCATTAGAGTAGTCAGAGAAAAATCTATATCGTATACCATTTTTTAGGGTTGTTTACAATTGTACACATTATCCAATTGGGATATTTTCTATGATAATGTCATTTAATAGCGGATTGTTACGGGTCGAGTAGATAGAAACAACTATTACGAGCAGACATATCTGGCTATCTGCTTTCTTAGTAATTATCTACGTACACCGTTACCGTTACCATTGGAAAACATTTGATAGTAAGAACAAAACAAACATACTAGATTTTTTGGGGAATATTTAACTTTACACTTAGTTTTAAAACTAACACTTGATACTGGAAGTTAACCAATACCCAGTGTTAGTTTGAAACCGTCTTCTCTGTTGAAATATCGATATTTATAAATCCAATGGTGTCTTTCACCATTATAGTGATGTAACGGGGTTCCGTAGACATTATTTTTCTGTTATGAATTCCATTAATAATATTATCATAGCAAATTTCCCGTTTATATAATGTGTACAATTACTCGTTGGTTTATTGTAATATACATAATAATACCTATAGTGTGACGTGAATTATGTTATCAGTGTTATCTTGATTGAAAGTCTCTCTCATCTTATCATTTCTGCTATAATACGCCCCGAAGATGTTACTAACACCTGTAATTGTTAGTATTCTACAAAAATATATATTAGTAAGTATTCATTGAGATCTAAGTTATGTCGGCCGTCTAGGAGTAAATTCATTAGCTTATAGAATGAATCATCAAAATCAGTTTGCTCTTGAGAAGATATCGGGTAATATTATATAGAAATAAAACATATTCAACTGCTGCTTTTATGTTATTTTGTTTTGTATGTTCGTTTTTTTAATATTATTATTGTGTCATCTTATTGTTCCACTGCTCGGTATGGGCTTTTCAATGATTTCTTATACTTTTTTGTATTCATCATCATCATCATCTATAAAATTAGACGGTAATATAAATTTTATTTTTATATGCAAATAAATAAATACAAGTGAAATTTCCTATAGTAATTCTGATAACTAAATTTTCATAATTACTAAGCTTGTATTCATGAATCCACGTTTTAATTTTTAAGACTTCCACTCAAAATATGACATCAAAACATTTAAAGAACTTACACGTATGATTGTATTACAGCCATTTACTGTTTAGTTTTCAACACCATTGTCAGACCGAAATCAGGTCGAATAATAAAAGTTACTTTTATTGACCTTCTTTTCTTTTTGTTGCAGGTGAGTTCAACAAACACCGTTTTGTATTCAAGTAGCATCCGTAAATAAAAATAAACAATCATCGAATTCAAGTACGGTACGGTAAGTAACGATGGCAGTTTTCTACAACCATTCTATGAGACTATTTTCTCTGACATACCGTGACATCGCTACTTCGGTTCAGCAGAAGCGGCCGTTCGGAAATGCATCAGTGGTTCAACCGGTGGTTGTACGAGTAACTTGCCCGCGCAGTCACCTGCTGTTTATCTCGGTCGAAGCACGCGTCTAACCGCGACATGAATTCGACTTCGAACGCGCCTTCGTTCGAATTTCGAATGAATTAACCGCGAAAATATAGTTTGTTATTTTTTTTGTGGAACTCATGTGTGGCCAGTGTTGAAAGTGCACGTGTTATCTTCTTGCCAATGAAATAAAAGCGTAACTATGTTAGCAAATGCAAATTTATAATCTAATATTTTATGAATAAATACTTTAATAGTATAGTCATTGTACCCATACTATAAGATCAATTTAATTAAAATTTAAAATTAAAATTATTTATTGCCTGGACAAATGTCCATAATATTTTTTTATAATTTTAAACAAGAATGACAAGCTACTATTACAGTAACATTACCTTTGAAACTAATACTGAAGTACCCTCACTCATTTGCATGGTATCAATAGATTACGTTTCACAACCATTCAGTAGCTGAAGTTGATGAAATAATAAATTTATAGTTTCGTGCTGTGTCAATTAGTTCAATTCGTTACGACTTTGTGATGAATAGAATGTATCGTTTCAAAGTTCCTTTTTGATATTTTAATTACCTACCTTCCTTATACTTGTAATTAGATTTTTATACTTTATGCTACGTCTTATATCATGATTATTTTTACTATTAATAGATTCTATTCCAGTTTTGGTCCCGTATACAGTTCGGTGTAGTTTGTTTTTATGGATAGTTTTGTAAATATTCATTAATTTATTTGTTAAAGTATGTACTTAGGCCTATTCATATTTTCTCATGTTTTATTAAAAAATCTTCCGATGATAACGTAATAAATATGCACAGTTTTGTCTTATCGTATGATATAGAGCAAGGTAAGATAAAAGTGATAGCCTTTAGATGGATATTGTAAAAATAAATATTTGTCTATATACTCAAATTTACATATATTGTATAACATGTATGTGTTATGTGCCTATGCACGATATTGCACGTTTAATAAATAATTTTTACTCAAACTCATTGTAGTATTCAAAAGGACACAAAATGATAATAATTCTCATAATGCCATTTAGTTCCAAGCTAAGCAAAGCTAGAAAAGAGATAGAAATATTAAATATATATTTATTTGTAAATATATACGTAATACACAAGAAAACACCTAGACTAATACAAACCTATGATTGTTTGCATACAAATGTTTGCATTGTGGTAGGAATTGAAGCCGCGACCGTCGGAAGTAAGGAGGCAAGTTTAACCGCTAGACTATCGAGGTTAAAGAAAATTATAATGAAGGAAAAGTTACGAGTCGTTCACCTGGTTTTGTCACCCTCTTATTCGGAATATACTACATATACATAAGTAGGTACCATAGACAGTAGAGTTCCCCCTAACCTTTTGTCTAAGTTATTTCGTTGCGACAGACCAACATAGCAATACGGCGTATGTAAGCGGGGTTATTTTATACACGAATTCTAAGTTGCATTCATGCATGGATGCAAATTGCAATGTTTGGACATAAAATTTCCTTGCTTAATTTGGTCTGTCTTGTTACCATTATCTGTGCAACAGAACTAGGTAGATAAGTAATTGTACATATCTTATATATAAAATATTCGTATCACAATGTTAGTTACCATACTCCTCCGAAACTGCTTGACCGAATTTTATATGTATATATAGTAGGTCTGAGAATCAGCTACTATTTATTTTTCATACCGCTAAGTGATATGATAAGGATTGTCCACCCCATACATTTTTTATGGGCAATTTTATTTTGAGTTGGCATAAAAAATACATACAATACTAAATTTTCAACCTTATACCACCAACCCCTATTAGTTAACAGCGATATTAGTGCCAAAATTTTTTTGGGGCCGCTAGTTTTTTATACAGTTACTATTAAATTATTTCAAAATAGTTAAACAGTTATAATTAATATAAAAATAGCAAGAGCGTAAAACAATGCATTTACTTACTAGAATAGTTACTGATATACGTTAATATTTTTCATATACAATTAAGGTACGCATATATTACGAAACTACCTGACTGACTAAACAGGAATTTGTAATTAAGATTATATTAATTGTAATTTAGTTAGTTACAGTCGTGAATGCAAAACACCAATTTAACCTGCGTAGTCTGCAATGGTGAAATGAGCCTACGCAAACAGATTGCTCTAAAGCTTGTGGTTTTTATAAATATTCTCTGCAAACAGTAACAATGAATTTATTGCACAAAATAGTACTAATACTGCTTTGTTTTAGAATTAGATAGGTATCTAAATATGCAGAATTTTAGATATAAATTTTTAGTAGATACTTCGCTATTGTTTACCTAATTTTTTTTCGTACCTTATTACCCGTATCTTCGTTAGCCCTTTTTGGGACAAAATGTAGTCTATTCTAGTCATTGTTCGTAAGGACGAACAATGACTAGAATAGACTACATTTAATGTAATTTCACTTGAAGACAGATATTACAAGGGTAATATCTGTCCTCAAGTGAAATTTCATTAAGATCCGTTCAGCTTTTTTATTTGTATAATTAGAATAGTAAACAGCCTGACGGCTCACCTGATGGCAAGTGTTAACCGTCGCCTATATACATGAACAGCACAATGGATATCACATTATCATGTGACGCCCGTGATACCACTCATGCGTTGCCATTACGGCGGACTAAGATGTCATGCCGCTAATTCACTGCCTTATCTCAACCGAAACAAGCGAAACGTAAACTGCTTGGCGGCTGAATTAGTAGTCAACTACTGAGGACTGACGCAGACGACTTTTTACAAAATTTCTTACCCCGTTAAATGTTTCGTCGTCTCAAAGGTTATATATGGAATATAGGCAGATACACTTTCATATTAATAATTTTTTTATTTATATAAACTCATCTTCAGTCGCCTCTTATTCTACATTTGTGGTTTGCCCTATTGATTACTGTATATTTAATTTAACATACGTTTCAATAAAAGCAACACCTACATTTACATATTTACATAGATTCTCCATTAATCTCATCTAGATTGACCGAAATGTTACAATTTATATGTGATGTATTAAATAATAGACAAAAAACTTGCATCGTAATACGATTAAAAGGAAGTTACGTAAAATGAAGAATACTATATCCATACTAATATTATTAATGAAGAAAGTGTATCTGTTTGTTAACTTTTCACCAATAAACGGCCTAAATGGATGTTAATGTTAATAAATATTACATGAAGATTGATTATAGCACAAGTTTAGATATATTTTTTATCAAAAAAAAAAGTAGACGAATTTGTCGTGACGAAGTTGTATTTGATATTGAAATGCTAGTCACTTATATGTAAATGAGCTTAGTATTTTCATGCTAGACTTTTTTTGTTATGTTTCTTATTGGATTAGGTACCTTTTGGTAAAGGCAAATCCTACAGACAGAATGAAATATAAGAAATATCTAAATTTAGACAGTTTAACTGAACTTGTAGAGAAAAAATAAAAACGTTCTTAAAATGTAGATTTTTTATTCTAATCAAATTAAATATTATTTGTAATTATTTTATAACAATATATAGGAATTTAATGGTCTTTTGTTTTCGACTTCACCTGACTTTAGTCTTACAGCCTCGCGCCCCGCACTAATTTAAAAAAAAACTTAGTATAGAATAAACGTTTTAAAAATATGAATATTTTTAGACAATAAAATTAACTAAGTTGCTTAATATGATAGCAGTGAAGTGTATATGAAGTGTATATTTAGTACACTTCATATATACTTCAGTTCTCTAAAGCAAATTCAAGTGCCCATTCCATATGTTGACCGAGCGGTCAACAGAATAGGCACTTTGATGAAGACGTTACGAGAACAAGTATGACCAGCAAAACAAAATTCTAGTGAGCATCCATACTGGGCGTCGGTGAAAGTGAACTACAAACAAGTTAGTTAATTAACGTACCGAGAAAATGAGTTAACTTGCATATTGCTGACGCATTATGTATATATGAACTGTGAAAATAAACATATAATTTAAAATTGTGTTCCACAAAACAGTCGGCATTAATTGCGAGAAGGTTAATATTGAACCAATACGGCCGTAAGTACTTTCTTTACATTAAAAAAATTGGTAAGAATTGGCAAAAATATTACGTAACATATACAAAATATGCAGTGTAATTGATAATTGCCTTGTTTTTTAAATGGCTAAAAATAAACAGTGAAGCGAGACACTACTTTGAATGAAGTAACTATCATTTTTATATTTTAAAAATTCACAATTGTAACTTAGAAATGACTTAAGTTGTAAATGCACAGACCATTTATAGAGTTTATTGTGGTGAAAGCAAACCTCCTAGTAACGAATAGTGTTAATATTAAATGCTTTGACCAAAAGCCATGAAATTGCTCATCGCCTCTCATTGATAGTGATAGTCCTTTCAACAGCTTCAAGTGTCGACACTCTCGTTTTCTTAGGAATGTGTAGAAAAAAACATCGGCGTGTCTATTCAAGCGATTGTTACACCGATGAGGTCATTCAGTATTCAGTATCACTATAGCTAGTATAGTACCTATTGATCTATTTAATGAAATATTATCAATCAGAATGCGTCTACTATTTTTTAGCGAAATTCATTGATCTGTTATCTAATAGTATTGAAAGCGGTAAGAAGTTTCAAAAGTACTTACATAATATTTAAAATGTATAGTATTTTAGAAGAGTGTTTGCATACAGCGATATTTTTAAATATTAACAACATAATATTTATTTGATCACTAACGATGAGTATGGATAAAGGAGTCTTGAGAGATATAGATACTCTGTATCCATGATGCTTGTACATGATAATCATTGTATTACGATAACTGAATTATGTTTTCGAATTTATATATAAAAATGCCGTGTAAAAAAACCTTGGCATTAGTTGGCATTTCTGTTTCTTTAAAGTTTGCAATATTGTCCGTAATCTAATATAAATCAAATTTGGCTGTTAATAATTTTTATTATGTTAAATTTGCTTTTAAAATGATCATATGAACAACTTATTCATAGTATCTCTGTGAAGTTTGAGTAATTCAGAGACGCACTTACATTACTGTTGATTGGTTAGTATTAGAGTTTATAGAATAGGTATATGGTATTTGTAATTTTTTGTTCATATAAATAAATTAATATTTATTCATGACTGTCTCTGACTGACTAATGGAGTAGCTAGAGGCTATGTCAACTGTCAGCTTTATGGTCTACTCTACATATTGACAACATCTGCATGTCACTGGATATATAAAACAGTAGGGGGCGATCCTGCTGCCGTTTCTTGGATGTATTTGTTATCGGTATTTTTGAGCGAAGAATTAGTCAGAAGTAAATTTACACAAAGTTTTCTGGTGTCGGTCAGGTTTAATCTCACAAACTTTGAGGTTTATGCCAGTAAGCCATTAAGCCATAAACCAGTAAGCCATGCTAACTATTACTACCAATTCTTAAATCCTAAATGTTTCTTTTCCAAAGGTTAACTATGAGATAAACATTTCTCTTTGTTATTATTTCGTAACCCTTCATCAATATTCATTATGGTGAGGTAACTAATCGGCGCTTGCGAGCTGCTATCATCTAAAATATAAGAAAAATATAATGGGAGAATTATTCTCATATAATTTCTCTATCGTCAAATTATTTTTATTTGCATGTTATATAATAGAGAAATATTTTCATTATTCACCGATTTGTTATTATTGTATTGTTAGTTATACATGCATTATTTTACTAAGGCGTTCACGTAACGGTTAGGTCTATAATTGTTATTAGGTAGTACTAAATGTTGAATTTTTGATGCTGTAGGTATTTATTTCGGGAATAGAATATAACGAGCGCACAAGCATGGCGCTCAATAAAATAAAGCAATTCAAACTGTAAAATATTATACTTTGCAGGTTGAATTCCTTTATATCTAAACTATATTATAAAAAAAAAGGATTTGGTAATCGATTAACTCAAAAATAATTAACCAATTTTTAAAATCGTTTCAACTGTCGGAATCTACATTTAACAGCGAGTACGTGTTACTATGATTAAGTAGTGTCTGACGTTTTATAGAAAAAATGCGATCTGTATAATAATCGGCTGGGTTGTCTAAAATTTTAATATGGTATTTGTATTAATACTGTTCAGTATTATAATTATTAGTACTATTAATCAATGCAATCAAAGCAAAGCTTATTATTGTTTGAAATATCGATATTAACCTTCCAATTTGTATAAGTATGTGATTGTTGTCAAACTGTTTGAAGTGCGCACTAGACCTTAGTCTTGTAATAACATTTCGCAAATTTCATTAGGCTGTTAACTACATACTAACTCAGTAATTAAATTGATTGTTATCGACACCTCATTATCGGTTTATTGATTTCGTGTCATAAATTTATTTTAGTTTTTTTTCTGGATGGTAGGTGAAATGGTAGTCATTGACTGAAATGAATAAATGATTTTTTAATTTGAATTTGAATATATAGAGTACCATGTAATCCTAAATATGTACATTATCAAATCTTAACAATATGTGAGACATAGATTTGGATTATATATTTTACATGTAAATTCCTTTGTCTAATTGATTTCGACTAAATTTCAATTTATAGTTTCTGTATAAAATCTATTAGCCTCTGACAAATTTTGATTAACTTTCTATAAACATTGTATAAGTAAATATTTTCCAAAAAGGAAATTTAATTATCAATAAACAATGAAAACAACATCAAGACTTACAACCTTTACTTGCTGATAGTGACACAGTTACTTGAGATACTTAGCATGTCTATGCAGAATATATCTTAAATAGTCAGATTTTATCTGGCCACGTTAAGTACGTAAGTTATATAGTTCATAAAATATTTTTTATTAGAATTTAAATACAAATTCATTTCTAAAAGGTTTTACAATTAAAGAATATATAAACTAAAATAAAATAGTATTAATAAGATTAATAATTATGTATAGTAATATAAGTTAAATAGTTCATAAGACCTTGAAGATAACGAGTGTACTTTGTTAAGCAATTTCTGACTGACATGTAAAATTAATAGATTCAGTGATATAATGTGAATGAAAAGGAAGTGAAAAAAAACTATCACAATGTGCAGCAAGGATCAGTTCAGTCATATCCTTGGAAAGATTAATGTGGTAAGTCAATTTTATAATATCTAAATTATATCGTAAGATATCCTGTAATATCGCCAAGGTTTGAACCTGTAGCGGTGCCCACTGAAAAAACTGCCAGCCCACTGACTGAAGTTGTATCCGTCGGAGAGTTGGTATTCAGCCGCTCCAAAAGCCCTTCCACGCCCTTGGCAATTGTCTCCGGTGAAGCTGTAAAGTCCAGATACGGCTAACAACATGGCCTTGTGCCATCTGAAATTGTCTCCTGTGAAGCTGTAAAGCCCATATATGGCTAACAGCATTACATTATTTAAAAAAAACTGGAATATACGTGATTATTATAATCTTATTGTGAGATTAAAAGGATGCTGCATTGTTTTTAAAGTACTTAATAAATCCCAGCACTACAATTTCTGCTAGTATTAAGAACATTTCGATTTTTTTATATTTACATAACTAGTGTAGGTACAAATATTTTTGAGAGAAAAATTACTTTACCATGGAAACAGAGACAACGGGTTCGTGATATTCGTAGTAAATGTCTAAGTTTTTAATATTTTAAAGATTTGCAATATTTTTGTTGCGTTTATTGATAAGTTACCTTACTACGTACTGTATGTCATTTTGTTCTTAGAATGTATCTTTACTTATATACTCGTAAATTAACTTCGCAATTATAACATGTATAATTTCTCCCAATAATTTTTAAAACATTAACCTGAAAAATCTCACTACGAATCCGAAACTAAAAAGAGATTAAGATTTGAATAGACAACTGATAGATTTTTTGGAAATGAAAATCTGTATATTTATTGAGGATCGAACCTACGACCATCGGAAATAAGGCGGTGTGCTAGACCACCATGTAGTAAATTTTAATCATTGTTACTTACTACCTACTGTATGTGTACTGTACTGTATGTAAGCACGTTACGTTAAAATTTTAACATAATGCATTATGAATCATTCTGTTTTGACTTTTTAATTCCCAATCAATATATGTCGATACTAAATTGTAACTGCAGGCAGTCGACAGTGCCTATGCATATTTTGTATTGTACTCGTTTGTAATACATTGTAGAAGCATTAAACAGAAATATACGATACATTTTTTTGTGTACGTTACATAATACCGGACTTATCCTTAATGGATTTCGTTACAATCAGCAGCCGTTGAAAACGTATGAACTGTGGAGAAAAGTGTAAAATTTTAACATAATGCATTATGAATCATTCTGTTTTGACTTTTTAATTCCCAATCAATATATGTCGATACTAAATTGAAAACAAGATCTGCTGCATTCCATTATGTATTATTTCGTAACGTTAATTAATCTTGAATAACTGCAGGCAGTCGACAGTGCCTATGCATATTTTGTATTGTACTCGTTTGTAATACATTGTAGAAGCATTAAACAGAAATATACGATACATTTTTTTGTGTACGTTACATAATACCGGACTTATCCTTAATGGATTTCGTTACAATCAGCAGCCGTTGAAAACGTATGAACTGTGGAGAAAAGTGTTTACCATTTAAAATCAAATAAAGTTATTCCTCAAAAACTATTGTTTATTTTACGGCCGTAAGGGGTATATATAACACACTAATATTAACACTCACCAGGAATTGACAGTAACAACGTTTGGTGGACATCGTACTTCCCGGACAATTAACTTGCTCCAACAGATTACATTTTTTTTCGAAATTTGGTTATCTTCTTGCAATTTTATTTTTAAATTTTAATGTATCCTCGTCAATGTACCCTTATAACTTTGTTGTTTGTAACTATGTTCTTAGTTTTTTTTTCAAGAAAATATATACGTGAAAATATGCGTCTGTGCCAGCTATACAGATATATAACAATAATATCTGCTAAATCGGTAGATTACCAATAGTTTTTTGTTACAAAACAAGCACAAAATTTTAAGGGATACCATACAGTGAAAACGTCAAAATTGATTAAGTCTCTTCTGAGATTAGCACGCACATACAAATACAAAATTCCTTAAGGTTTTGGTTATGTTCATAAACAGCGGTTTCGGTTCTGTAGCGCATCAGAGATCAGCAGCGCGTATAGATGGTTTTGAAACCATAATGCGAAATAAAACTGCATCAGTGATGTGTAGAATTCGTGGGAGCGCTAACAGCCTCCTAAACACCATATCAGATATGTCCGCTCCAGAGACACTGGACATCGCTACACTGCTGCGGACCTAGTGCTTCTGGACGTGGACTTAGACATAAATATATGAATTAAATGAATAAAATTGTAGTTTACTAACATAATTTATAAGTTGTTTACTAACATAATATAGATACATATCCGAAATAATGAACAAAATAAAATAAAGTCCACATAATATTTTTTCTCACACATCTTCTATGACAGACACCTATCGGTTGCTTTTGTACTGTATGTATAGATTTAGATATTTAATTATGTACATATATATGCAGGTTTCGCGGCTTATTAGTTGTTGTTTGTGTTCATCTTTTACCTACTTTTTAGTTGATCTGGTTGTTTGTTCATCTAATGACCGGAACATTTTAACTATTGGTAATGTAATACGATGCGGTTGTAACGATTGCGATTTTTGTGGGTTGTGTCTTATGTTGGTAATGTGGGTTAGTGGAGTTTGGCCTTAATCAGTGGAGTTCACACAATATATGTAATTAATTAATAACCCTGGACAATTAACATAGCGACATCTAGCCCCACGGTAAGCAGAGCTTGTGTTATGGGTACTATATACTATATATATGTATAGAAAACATCCAAACCACCATGAATACAAATATTTGCGTCGTGCGAGAAATCAAACCCGCAACCAACGGAAGTAAAGCGGTGTATTTACCCGCTAGATCACCGAGGCCGTGGTATAGGTATAAATCAATTCTCGCTATTTATTTATTTTATTGGAATGGTAAACAAGCAGTAATGGGAAACGGTATTTGTCGCTATAATTACATTATCTTATGCCGCCTGTGATACCACTCATGCGATTGCCATTCTTGCCACTCATGAGGACTAAGATATCATCTCTCTTATCTTGAAATAACATTGCCTGAACACCAATACACGCTGACGACTTTTTTAAAAGTCTACTTCGCTAGATCTAATTGCATTAAGTATCCATGAATGTGAGAAATATGTCTAGATAACACTGTTGTTTTTCTTTTTATCTTATTGTTTTGTCGCTTTATGATGTCTCTTGGTTTCCCGTTGCCTATTCAGTCCATAAGAATGTAATTCGTGTACCAACTGACTAATATTTTTTATTGTTTCACATCAAATGTATTCCATATTTTAAATTGTGCACTTCACCTGTATATTGACATAAAAGGCATGACTTGATGTTGTTGAATAAAATAAAATGTATTTAATACGCATAATATTATGTTATCAGCTCTTAGTGATGTTCAAGATCACCGTTATCACTGGCTCAATAATGACAATGTACTTACACACTAGACTACATCCGCTCTCATCTTCAGTTCGTGTGACTCTATATGGCGCGGTTGCAAGATTATTCATTTAATTCGATTGTACTACGAACACATTATACTTGTATATATACTTTTATGTTTCTACCGAGGTAGACTTTACAGTCTAATCTTTCTTAGATAAGTTCTGGTTGGAGTGAGAAGTGATATGACAGGGTCTGGAGGCATGGGTAATGAGTGACAAATATCAATTACTCTGGGCCTTAAAAAAATTTATTATTTCTACGAATTTTAATATTATACATAATATGAAAAAGTACTATCTGAGTCCATAACAACATAAATTCAAAATAATTAATGCAATTAGGTCATATAGAGAGCAATAAATACACCCACTTGAGTATAGCTTGAAGCATGAAAAAATTATACGTTTAACTGAATTAAATTTAAATTACTATTGGTACAGTTGTAGCCAAAGGCTAAATAATAAAGCTGAATTAATATAATACTTGTAACCTTTTAGATCTAATTAGATAATGTCCAAAAAATGTTTAGAGTTAACTAACGCGTCCTGATAATGAGATTGTATGAGATTGCGTCAATACGGTTAGTTTACAAAGAATGAGTAAAGAATGAAATTGTTTACATTTTCCCAGTGTTGTGTAATTTTGTAAATATTAGACATTACGTTAATTATCATGATTCCCTGCATCGTTGTAAAATTAATGTAGGTTTAAATTTAAATCAAATAAGTAGATTTATTTAAATGAAACAAATAGATTTTGAATAATCTGCTTACCGTAAATCTATTTCATTTCAATTTAGACTGATATTTGAAAATTAATTTAATTTGTTTACTAATTCTCCATTGATATAGATGTTGTTATCTACTTCTGAGGATGCTTACAGTAAACAACATGAACCATCTAATTAACACACGAGACACAATATTTAAATTTCATCTCCCGCCACAATCGAGCCTCCGATGCTGATTCCTGAAAAAAATCTAATTACAGTTTTATGTCTATGGACGATACCATTGATGAATAAAATTAATATACTATACTAAAATTAATATAATATTATTATTTGTTAGGTAAAATCTTGAGTTTACTGGTAACCAAAATAGTAGATGACTGATATTTCGTCATTGATCCCAAAATAATAAAATTATTTAAAAGACTAAAATTAAATTGGTATGCTTAAAAATAATACAGACAAATTTAAAATCTCTTTCTGGAATTTGATTGAATTACCATCATGACAGACAGCCATTAGAGCTGTTCTTTCACGCATGAAACTTTAAAACAACATGACAATGAACTAAAAATATCACAGAGATGATTGATCTGCGCAGACAGGGTTATAACCGCATAAGGGGAACCAGGGCTCATGGCATCGTTTTAAACATTTATGATATTATAAATAATTTTTACGTAGGTGTTCATGATTGATATGATTTCTATAGAACCAGTCTGCTCCTGTTAGATGCCGCGTCAACTCACGACTCGACCTCTACTGTCATGTTTGGCATACCTTTCTGATTACATTATTTTAAATTATTATTAACTGAAAT